TTCTGCTGCCTCCATTTAAACTCTGTCCTGAATGTCTGGCCTAGCTGACTTGAACTGCATTTCTACACAGGACCACACATTTCAGGGCTGATTTCACAGTTCTTAGTGGGGCAGAAATGTCATACGATAGAGGGATGACTGCTAGTCCAACTGGAGTTGGACTTCATAGTATATCCCAACAGACTAAACTGAAGAAAGATGTAGCCAGGAGCTTTGAACAGGTACTTGAGATTATTCAATAGTAAGTAACTCAATGTTCTTACTTGAAATCTCTGTCAGATGTAGCTAAGGCAAATGGAAAGATCCTGCACCTCTCCGTCTCTCCTGCAGACGTTGACATGTCCTCAACAGAGGAAGGGAACAGTATTGCCCGCGACCCTAACAGCTCACAACAGAAATTTAAACTGTAACTGAGCTCTCCATGTTTCCATCTCACAAGGGCTGTGACCTGTCGGGGCTGTGGAGTGAATACAATGGCTGGCCCACTGCTCTAGAGGGGATAACAGCTTCTCCTGACCCCATCCAGCAGGGACTGTGGGTCAGTCCTGGACAGAGTGCCAGTCTCGCCCCACTGGAGAGCAGCTGACCTGAACTCTGTGTCAAAACTCTCCTTGGCTTAAATAGGTCAGGCTAGTGTTCTTGAATACTGACAGGATTTTGAACAGGAGTGGGAAAGAAGAGAGATTAACATACACTTTCTGCTCAGAAATGGTGCCATTAAGACCGAGTTTCATGATGGTATTTTCCTCATAATTATTAATTCTGAAATCTTCAAAGTTCTTTACAGTAATTGTCTTCTCTCTTGCACATCTTATGCTACTGACCTGTGCAAAACTTCACTCTTCTGCATGTTAAGTCTGGGATTTCTGGGCTGGGCAAAGACAGTCAGGCCTAATGGAAAGACTTCTCGTGAAAAACCAGCCTACCTCTCTGCATTTCACGTCTTAATGACAAATCACCCAGGATTAACCTCATTTGCCAGTGGAGACATTGCTACAGATGTGGCAGATACAGAGATGGTCATTTGATTTTACTTTTCAAGAACTGTGAAGCAAATGCAAAATGGACAATTTAATGGTTTGCATACTATGAAGAAATGTATATCCATCCATGCTGTCCCCGCAGACTGGTCATGTAGGATTTACCTGGGAATGAACTAGGCTTTCCAAACCCAGCCAGGGTCCTAGTTCAGCCTGTTCAGCCAGTAAAATACCACAGGGAAGGAAAGGGGAAAGCGCTCCTCAGCTTCTGACACTGGCTGTCCATTTGACAATGGGAGAGTCCAGTTAGACTGGTAGCAGACACAACTTGTCTTGTCTTCCATTCCCAGCATTTTGCCAGTCCTCACTAGCCACTTGCCCTGTGTTGAGAAGGGAGGTACAGCACCCAGAAGCAGGGGCTTGTGCCCACGGAAGGGCAGCAAGAATTCAGCTCCATGTAGCAATCCCTCTCAGGAGTCTCTTGGGGCAGCCCTTGCTGACTGCCCCATGTTCAGGGCACTGAGCAAAGACCAAGCTACTCTTGGGAAAGCTCTAAGAAGTATTTACAGCTCCACCTGCCAAAGCCTACACAGTTCCATGAATAGCCACGACCGCTGACAAACCCTGCCTTACAAGTCCACCTCCTGAAAGGTGGTGTGCCATGGTCACTGTCTGCAATTGTCTCATTGCAAAGGAATATGTTTCTTTACATTTTCACTGGCAGTGCTTTATCAGTATTATTCTTCTTTAGAACTTCAGATATTGCAAAGAAGTAAAATACGGACACTAAAAATACTATCTTGCTAATACAGTTTAAGCAAAAGAAGAAATAGATCGCTCAGAAAAGGCCAGGCTAATAGCCTTAGCAAAGTTAGAGTAAAGAAGTGGTTAAGGATCTAGATGATTTAATCCAGTTTTAAGAAAAGGTTTTACAGTGAGCAATTAGATGCTGTTTAAGGAATTAATCACTAATGGGTCATTAACTCTGACTGCTATTGTACAGTTAACAAGCCGAGGCAGGATTATTAGACTCAGCACCCAATTAAGAAGGAGAAGATATTTACAACAAAATGAACAAATGAGCTTTTAAAATGGAATGGGACAATGTGAAAGAAAATGTACGAACACAGAAAACTACACAGGGTACAAGAAAGATATGAGTTTGCACATGCCTTTGTCTCTTAATTTGTTTGAAAAGTATTTACCTGTCTGTGCCCACTTCTGTTCATCTGGTTAAAATATTTAATTTTTAGCAATAAACTCATAGCTTTCCTTGAAGGACATGATTGCACAGAGTTTACCAATTACAGGGTTCACATGTACAACGTATAATGAAAGACCTGATAATACATCAATAAAAGAACAATCACCATAACTTGATATAATCTTTCCATTTTTGCTCGCAGGTGTTGGATCAGGAGCTTAACAAATGTGAACAGCTGTCTTCAGCTGCTATTTCTGCTGTCCTGTCATTGTGGGCTTATCTACTGTTAGTCTTTGACTATCTCAAGTAGCCAAGTGTGAGCATTGGTTACAGTGCTGATCAGAAAGTCAGGGTCTTTCCAATGGCTTTACAGGATACAGAAGAACTGGAGGCAAAAGGGAGGGAGGGTAGTGGTGTCAAAATGTGGAAGACCACCACTGAAACCTTGGGGAGTTGCTTGTTAATCATGAGCAATAAGCACAGGTAAGAGCTTTTGGGCAACAGTTAAATGTGCTCACATGCAGGAGGGTTTTCAGCATCGAAGCTGCAGCGGGACTGCAGCCAAGTCATGACAAGTGGGATTGTTCCTACCCTGGCGGAGGAAGAGTGAGCGGAGCCTGTGCAGTCGCTTGTCAGTGTGTGTCTGTTGCTGACACAGCCCAGGGTGTGCAGGCACTTCTCCAACACACCAAGAGCCATCCTTCCCTCATAGCCACCAGAGATGTGCCTTCCTGCAAGCCTAGCATCCTTGGTGATGCAAAGCTCACCTGTGAAAGGACCACTGGAATCAGACCTAAAAACTGATGCAATACAGTTTTTCTTCTCCTCCCCTCCCCATAGAAGTTTACTCACGTCTCCTTACTAGAAGGCAGCAAAATATTTCCCCGGTCCCGACAGTGACAGCACTTTCTTTGCCAAGGAACCAAGAGTCATGTGCTGGGGAGGCTGGACACCACTACAGACATACGTACAGCCGCACTTGACAGATCCAGAGCCCAATAGGAGGGACCAGCCCAAGTAGGGCTACATCCCCCCTGAATTCAGCAGAGACCACTCTCTGGGCCTCCCTGTATCCCCCTGGCTCAGGGAAGTGAAGCCTGGGAGCCTGGGCACAGCATGTGCTCTGCTACAGAGAGGCAACTTGGATCTGTAGGGAGACTGGGGAAAGAGGAAAAGGCATTTCAAAATAGAGGGATTCCTACTATTATCTGTTAAAGACGCTCTCCAGACAATAGATGGAGGCTGCTGTGGAGAAGGCTGTGAAGGGATGTTTAGAAACTGCTGTCTAAGGTTAAAAAGCTCTCTGAAGTGAAGCTGAAAAAAGCTGACATACTTATTTCTGACAGGACTCTTAAAAGATACGCACAGATTGTGAAAATATAATTAGACGCCAGCCTTTGTCTGGCCACAACGAGTGGGAAATGGTGAAAGGAGAGGTCTCCCACTCTGCATTGAATCATCCCCAGGACACAATGAGGGCGCTTGTGCATCCTTCTCTTTTCCCTAATGAGAAACGTTAATTGCCACAACCTCCAGAGTGTGTAGAGCACCCGGTGCCCAGTGGAGGAGAAGGGGTGTTTCATTACAGCTTCTCAGCCCCATTACAGGCAGTAACGGAGATAATGGAAAATAAAGATGCCGCAGTTTGCGTTTCGGCAGCTTGGCGATGGGCACTGGCTGGGCGGGGGAGCAGGCATGGCCCAGCACCGTGCCAGGCTCTGTGGGCTGCACCGGGCAGCCGCACCAGGCAGGATGCACCCAGCAGGCCTCCGCCGGCAGCTCCAGCCACCCAGCCAGGTGTCCAGTGCCCTGTCAGCTGCTGCTTGTACCCCCGACAGGCAGCTGGGCTGTGGGGGCACGGGGGCCTCCAGCACCTGCAGGTCCCCTTCTCTCAGGATGCAGCAAGGGCCAGGGGACTGGCACAAACACCAGCCCAGTGGGGCAGGGATGGGCAAAGCCCACCCAAACTCACAAGGACAGCTGTGGGAGTGCTGCGCCCGGCCCATGGGCTGCCAGGGCCCTGTCCCCCCTTGCCGAGCAGGCAGACCCTAGCTGAGTGTGCCCCCTGCTGTGGGGCTGCAGCCCCCAGTGGTCGCAGCCAGTTCTGGCAGGGGCCTGCTGCTGGAGGGGGAGGGAGGAGGGCCCACAGCCAGGCCTGTCCCACTCGTCTGTGCATCACAGGGTCTGGCCCGAGGAGCCCATTTGGGTGCAGGAACACGCTGCACAGCCTTCATGTAGGTTGTGCCATTTAATGGTGCAAAAGTGGAAAACCCTCCCCAGGTAACGCAGGCCTCGGTTCCCAGCCACCTTACACAGCTCTGCTGGAGGGGGAGGGAGGAGGGCCCACAGCCAGGCCTGTCCCACTCGTCTGTGCATCACAGGGTCTGGCCCGAGGAGCCCATTTGGGTGCAGGAACACGCTGCACAGCCTTCATGTAGGTTGTGCCATTTAATGGTGCAAAAGTGGAAAACCCTCCCCAGGTAACGCAGGCCTCGGTTCCCAGCCACCTTACACAGCTCTTCGCCCTACTGCAGCTTTTATTGCAACTAAAGCATCCAGCCAAGGAGGGAGAGCAAAAGAGATTTTTTTTTTTCCTAAGCTATGATCAGGCCCCTAACTCTGCAGGGCATGTGGAAAAGGGAATCAAAAGGACTGCAAAATACAAAGCACATCAAAGGTGTGGGGGAAAGGCTGATGCAAGGGACAGCCCTCCCTTGCCTGGCCGTCCGGGGGAGCCAGAGCAGGGCAAGGGCGTCCCACGGTTGTCCCAGGACCAGCTGTCCCCGTGGGCTTCTCCCAGGTGCTGAAGAGGGAGTTCAGATTGTCTGCCAAGGTTTGCCGATGGACTGGATGTGCTCCTTGGCCTTCATCCGCAAGGCAGCAATGCTGGTGTTGCGCGGGTCTGCCTCGTCCAAGGGGAACTTGTCCACAAAGGTGGCCCCGCACTGGTAAGGTGGCGGTGGCCCCATGGCCCCCAGGGGCTGAAGCGCATGGGTCACTGCCGGAGAGTTCAGGAAGGGTGGTGGCGTGTAGCTGCCAGGCAGGCTCTGTGGCGAGGCTACGAAGCCAGGCAGGGTCTGCAGGGCCGTGCTGCTGGGCACAGGTGGGCTGAGCCACGTCTCCAGGGGCAGGTTGCTGCTGAGAGGACCCATGGGTGT